GCGGGACGTTAAACATGCAGGCGTCGGGTATATTGAAAAGGTAAGGAACTTCGTGAGTGTTAATGTAACAGCTCTTAGTTGCAGTAAACATTTCTGAATTAAACTGCGGCTACTGGTTATATAGCCTGCGGTACTCTGGCGATATCCTTTCAAATTATGGATTTAGTTGCAAGAAACTTTATATGAACTATAGCTTTATTTTTATTTGAATCCCGTTGTTTACTTTGCACCTTTATATATGTTTGATCCGTTCGAGGTTCAGTCAGTAGAATAAATTAAATCTAAATTAGGTGAGGCAGTAGAACTTCTTTTTTTTTTTTTATATCTGATATAAAGAATTTTTGTTTTATTGCAACGTTTAGAACTTGAATGAAACATCAATTTGTGTGCTCAAGGTTATTCTAACATTATTTTAGTGGAATATACTATTTGGTTTACATTTTATTCCATACCTAAAATGACCATTCACAGCAGTCCGTACCATCCTTCATCGATCAGCACCTTGCTGGACAAGAATTACGAAAATCCCCGGAGAAGGGGAACAAGAGGGACAAAGGACAAACACAAATCTCCAAACACAGCTAGGTGACTGGTGCGCGACCGAAAAAATCCGCCTGGTCCGGGTATCGAACCCGGGACCTCATCATTTCAGGTGGAGCGCTCTACCAACTGAGCTAACCAGGGGTTCGACGTCAGCAGAGCAAACAGGTTTTATCAGCTGCCACCAGTCTAATATCAACAGAGCTGAAGCTTTCAGTTTAAGGTTATGATTATAATGCGATTAAATGCAAAGCTGCAAGCGAGCTGGACAAGAATGACTGTCACCTAGCTGTGTTTGGAGATTTGTGTTTGTCCTTTGTCCCTCTTGTTCCCCTTCTCTAGGGATTATTTTCATCATTCTTGTCCAGCTCGCTTGCACCTTGGCATTTAATTGCATTATAATTATAACCTTAAATTGCAAGCTTCACCCTTGTTGGTGTTAGACTGGTGGAAGCTGATAAAACCCGTTTGCTCTTCCAACGTCTAACCCCTGGTTAGCTCAGTTGGTAGAGCGCTCCACCTGTAATGGAGAGGTCCCGGGTTCGATACCCGGACCAGGCGGATTTTTTTGGTCACGCACCAGTCACCTAGCTGTGTTTGGAGATTTGCGTTTGTCCTTTGTCCCTCTTGTTCCCCTTCTCCAGGGATTATTTTAGTCAAAAATGAAATGTGTGCTTGTGCTGCAAAACGACGTTTTGCTGCGTCATAATGGACTTTTGGCTGCTCCAAAAGGTGCTGCAGAATGACTCGGGTCAATTGCATCGCTGCAATCGCATATTTTGCTGTCTGAAGGAGTATTAAGGGACTATAGCACAGCTGTTGAAACGTGCGCACACATCGCGGCACAGCTAGCGCGAACCCGACATCAGCAGCTTTTCGTGTTCTGTTCCAACATGGTATCGACATAAAATAGTGCATTAACGGGCTATAGTTGGTTGTTGACAGACAAAAGAGTAGCACAAAAAAGGCGGGACACAAAAGAAGCAAAACACAGGGCGAGAGCAAACATGCAACTAAAATGAGATTGTAAGTGCCTGTAGCAATTCTTCCTGTGTACTCATATAAATCCCACAAGCGTCCACATCGTCAGTTCTCGTTTTGAGGATATTACGTTTAGATAGACGTCGGCCCATAGAGAAACTTCATTTTCCTCAAATATCTTTTGGTCCAAGTAACGTCATGTTCTCGAACTTTCGCGTTCTATCCCAACCGCGCTAGCCTCACATTCTTACGGTTTCTGCGATGCATAGTTTTTTACCCTGGCCGAAAAAAGAAAAAAAAAAAAAAAAAAAAAAGGAGCCAAAGGTGGTTTTGCGCCACCTCCCACTGGGTCATCGGAACATTTAAATGCTTGATCAGAAGGTCTGTAACCGAGAAGTGATATTCGAGTGATGATTTAAGTTCGCTCGAAAATTAATAGGATTCACTTCCCGCGACCCCTGTACCATTCTGGATGTATCTCTGGTGTCAGTAACGTACGGAACACGTGTTAGCATCTCATTCCATATGTTGGGCTGTAATCCGTTCTCTGCCAGACCAAGCGTCCACGTACTCCGGCCGGCGATGTCGGTCCCCGCCTCGGTCGACAAACGGGGACGCTGAAATAAATAATAAGAAAACGGACGATAAAGATGGCATGTTTGCTCCCATACGTGTGCATGCTGGCAATAGCGTTTATAATACAGCGCTGCCGAAAACTTTCTTCTACGTCTCTTTAATACCTCCGCTAATACCGGCTCGGCCTCGCGCGTCAGTCAGTTCCTCGGTGTTTTTTCGCGTCAGCGCTATCGCCGTATGCTTCCTGGTTTCGTATCTTGGCCTTTATTGGTCCTCGTTTGTTCGGGTGTGATGCGCGTGCGTCTGCGAGCGCCTGTGTATACCTCCACCTTCTCGGCGTCGTCGTCGTGATAAACGACGGCGGGACGACGGTTGGCCGGTGTTTGCTTTTTGTGCTGTTTTTTTGTCCGAGAAGCCGCAGCTGTTGGACGAGCCGGGTTTGGCCCGAGACACGGACGCGAGCTAAGAGACCGGCAGATGTGCGGCGCATCTTCGTTATGAAAATGGCGCACAGACACATGCACACAGGCACAAAAAGACAAAAGAAAGACAACGGGCGAGCTCACATCTTGACTTTTTCTTCCCCATACTCTCGGTGTTTCGTCACTGTATTAGTTTTACCTTATGGTTAGGCGGTAGATTTTCCGGCGTTTCTTTCTAAGGTAAGTGGGTGGATGTTTGGTCGGGGTTCGTTAATTCTTTTTGGGATATCGGTGTATTTCGGCGATCTGCTTCGGACGGGAAAAAAAAAAAAAAAAAGAAACGGTGATTGTCATTAGAACAAAAAAAAAAAAAAAAGGCGCTAAAAATTAAGAGAGGAGGGTTTCGACATAAACACTCGTAGCTAAAACCAAAAATTCGAGAATTTCTATTTATTATTATTTGAATCGATTTTGTATATTTGACACCGACGCACATCTGTCGGTATTTTTCGGCGAAAACCTTCTAGTCTACGGCTTGCGTATGATGAACCGCAAAGGACGCTACGAGCCATCGAAGCGTAAAGCCGAAGCCAATCCGATGCCGTGTGTCACGTGAATTAAGGGACAGGATAAGCGACGCGCTGGGCACGCGCATAAAGTTACGGGATTCAGAGGCCAAGCCTCTGAGGGCGAATTATGCGGACTGTTGTGTCCCAAGCATCCGTGCAAAAACGCGAATTCGGAAGCAGCGCGGTCGTGCCCCGTTGTGCCTCTGACAACGTTGCATGGAACTTTTCACGTGGAGTTCTGAGCGACGGGCAACGAGCGCTTGATTGTGGCGGAACAAGTTCGAGGCCCATGTACGGACTAGCCGACTTTTCTTGTTTGTCAATTAAAAAGGGAGCGCTTAGCGTGACCTTCAATAAGACGAACAGAAGCACGGCGGCCCGTCAAAAGGACAACTGCTTTGCGGGTGCATCCGTGACCAAGAAGGTCTTGGCGGTGCATCGAGAACCAGGGTATCCTGAACAGGGTAAAAAAAAAAAAAAAAAAAAAAAAGATTTTAATTAAGTAAATTACTTTTATTTAAATCAAAAGTGCTTCGATTTAAGCCACTGTAGCTAAGAAATGGCACTTCTGTACCCCTAGATGTATTTTAAACGTGAAAGATTGCTTGATATTTTTGTTCGATATTTGAAAGGAATGCGCAAGAAAGAAATAGTGCAAATATAAACTTTTCAAGTACAGTTTAAGTAACTAGTTTGTTTTATTACTATAAACCCCGCCTTAGAAAATGAGCTCGATATTTTCGTTAGTGAAAAGATTTATTAGCCTTTCTTTGGAATTCTCAATCGTGATTCAAATCGTATTGATTTTCATTCTCCGCCTGGATCCAGGATCATTTCGGTATGCCATGGGATTAACCGCACCGAATGGGGACAATTGCCGTGGCGAAGGGACGTCCGGACGCGGACACTCGGATCGTGCAATCGTGTGTCGTTAATATGGACGGCTTTGTTTTCCCTCCAAATTCGTCCGCATATCATGACGAGACAAAAATGCGTGGGTTTACCGAGTTCGTCCCCCGGAAATGTTGTCCGAGGGAGCACCCGGAAACAAAGCCGCCTCCACCAAAACTGGTGGTCGCGAGCTTCACGGTGCGGTTATTCACGTTCGGGCTGCTATTGCCGATCTCTCTCGGTCACCAGTGCCTGGGCCTACTCGGGGTTCATTGGGGGCCAGCGGACCGAATCTTGGGACTCATCATGATTTTGAACGAGTAGAATATATACTTTTTTTTTTCTACGAGGCTACTTTCGCGTCCCGCCTCTCTATAGTAGTTTTTATCGGAACCTTTCTGCCACGCGAGAAAAACGGGAAAAGATGGTCACGTGGTTGGGCTGACTGTTTTGCTCTCTGCATGCGGTAAACACTGTGTTAGCGGAGATAGCGCGAACACAACGTTTCTGTTTTCTCTAATTTCATTCGTGTAGTTTCCCGTTGAACGGCCACGTTGAGCCTCTAAGTTGAGGCATCGCTCGATCGCATTCCCGTCCACTATAGTCACTGACAGGGCGAGAACGAGAGTGAGGCCCTTTATTTGCCCCGCCTCCGACGCCAGCGTTCGGGAACGCTTCGGCATCCCGTGAACCCTGGGGTGCACGCCCAGTCAAAGCACGATGGAAGGCAACGAGCGCGTCCCGCCGTTCTCATTATTTCGGTAACTATGGTATTCTTGAAGATTTGTATATATATATATATATATATATATATATATATAAAGGCGATAGATTTTCTGCTGTGTGGGGAAAATCCGGGGATTGCGTATTCGCATTAACTGTGTGGCGCACTGTACAGCAGCCATTTCGATCGACCCCAGGAGTGGGGCGTTCTCTGCGAAGCCTAGCGGGAGGTTTTCTTTGTTTGCTTATTTTGTTGTTGTTCACCGAAGTAATTCTGTCCATGCCCGACTCGTTGCAGTTGGCTTCGGAGTCGACCTTGACGGCGGTGCCTTCCCGGGCCAGCTCCGGTGAGTCACCAACATGTTTGTTTGTCGATGGCCGGAAAAATCGCTGGGGAGGGGGGTTTCCCTACCCGTTTGGTGTTGTTGTCGGTCGTTGGTTGTTTTGGCCCGTCGTATGAAAAACCAACGGGCGTCTGTGACGTCGCCCCGAGCCAAGCTGGTTACGGTGCCCCGAACACCTGGTGCAAACAGCCCACACCAGGAGCGCAGCGAGCGGTGCGTCGTTTGTTCGCTACGTCTATCGGGAGATGGCATCACCCATCATCGCTGAGAGGAAGGGTCGGCAATACTTTTTGTTGCAGCGGGCCGAAAGACTAGGTGGCGCTAGCTACCGCCCGTTACAAAGGGCATAGCCGATATCATTCATCCATCCATCCATCGAATCGCCGCTAATCGGTGGAGGGCTGCAAATTGGAGTAGAAATTGTCCCAAGCTTAAAGTGACGTGCAAATTGTCACCCTCAAGGCATTTAGCAGTGCACTACAACCGGTGTGTGAGCTTTCCAAACCGGTGGGGAAATTCGCGAAGCTTATGTGATCAAAACAAGGGGTGCTCATTAGTTTGTCAGCGAGCCTTCCTAGGCCTTGATCGATAAGGAATTCTAATTTTTAAAACAAGAGTGAGCATGCTAAAAATAGCGTGTTTTTATGGTATATTTAGCTCGATATTTATCGAATAAAATTGCACTTGCGACTTTTTTGAGGTGCTGGCCCATTGGTCATTCGCAAACACATGTTTGACTTCCCGATGTGCATTTTAAAAGGACCTTGAAACGAAAGCTGCTGCGAGCTTTCGACATTTGAAAACTTTGATTCGGGAATGCCATTGTAATACTTGACGAAGTCGTTCGCGGGGAATACATTCTACAAATTATTATCTGTTTAGCGATCAGCTGATGAGCAAATATCTCGCGAACCTCCTGGACTTCGGCAAGTCTTAAATGTTTTCGGCGTGTATTTTTATTTTATTTTTTTTATAGGAAGGCAGTTGCGCATTAAAAATATCTCGGGTAAAATACACCACCTAAATACACGTTCGGTGAAAGTTTGAGCTTTTGGTGGTGAAGGAAGACCAGCGAAGCTGGTCTTCCTTCACCACCAAAAATGCACCACCTAAATACACGTTCGGTAAAATGCACCACCTAAATTAATACACGTTCGGTGAAAGTTTGAGCACTTTGGTGAAGGAAGACCAGCGAAGCTGTTCTATGGTGCGAATGAAGTAATGGCCGGCCGCAAGTCGGCAGGCCACAGTGGAAACGTTGCCGCCATCGGTGAGCGACGACGGCAACCACACAACCGACAAGCCGGTTGTCTGATTGCCGTTATCGCTCATGGATGGCGGTAGCTGTCCAGAGTTCTGTGTCATCATTAGTTTGCTGACGGACACGATCCTTGGAAAACGAGCTCTTAACAGCTCCGCTGTAAAAAAAGAAAAAAAAAAAACAGAAGTCGGCAAGGCCTTTTTCTGAATCATCGGAATATGAAATTATGAAGATGAACGAACAGTACTGATGGAACGTGAACGAAGGTTAAAAAACAACCGTATCTCCACGTGGTGAATGATGTTGATTGGGGCGAAGCTCCGGTGGTGCTTGTCTGCGTAGACGCTGAGCCGCAGCATGCCGAGCTCGTTTTCATCCATGTCAGAAAGAGAATGTGTGGTATGGAACGTGGTTATATACGCATTTGAGCGTTTGACAGCAGCGTGACATGGATGAAAACGAACGAAAGGCTCTGCATGCTGCGGCTCAGCGTCTACGCAGACAAGCACCACCAGAGCTTCGCCTCAATCAACATCATTCACCACGTGGATGTGCGGTTGTCTTTTTTTCTTTTTTTGCCCTACACGAGCACGGAAGCACTTGCTCTCGTGCTCAACACGAGCACCCGACGCCGGACATCGGACGGACATACGGACATGGCTAGCCCCTAAAAAGCTTCGCCTCTAAAAGCCGCCGAAAAACGGGTCATTCATCTGCATATTTCCACGCTCCCCAAGGGATTTGGACATGTCCCCGCTGCATAGCATTCCTATGGGCATTTAGAAGGCCCGATGGGAGAGTTGACAAAAAGCGAGCGCTGAGGGCGGGAAGATCGCGAGGACGAGCCTCCTGGCTGGAATGAGCGGACTTCTTCCTTACGGCATCTCTCTCTCCCTCCACGGTGTGTCCCGTTAGCGCGGCGAGTGACTCACACACATACCCCCCATTTGCGCTCTCTCTAACCTCGCCCTTTTCGCGGCCTCCTTTCGAGAAAAGACAATCAAAAGAAAGTGACTCTGGGGACGGCGCTGGGCTTAGCACAGCCCGCACCGCTACCGTGGTCGTCGGGACATTTTGTCGCGCGCGGTGAAAGACCGTGGCTGCGCGGTGGAGCAGTATATTTAGAGCGGCCCGTGCCTGCCCGCTTGCTCACCGCCGGGGGTTGAGGGGGAAAGGGTGGTTCCTCTCAGAGAGAATATATTTATTCCACGAGGATGGGTCCTGGAGGTCGAGGAGCACCTTCGGAGCACGCGGTGGCTGTTGCCACGCCCACGCACGGGCCGGTGTCTGTGGCTGCCCTCGCGTGCCTCTGGTGGGGCGACCTTGAAGGATGACGTCAGCAGCTCTGACGTGCCCCGTCTAAAAAATGTTATTCTTGTGTGCGTGTGTGTGTGTGTATATATATTTTTAATGGGGAAAACGATGACTTGTGTATATAGGGCTTGAAGAAGTTGGGCTGCCCGTGCAGCTTTACTAATTTTCTCCTTTAATGTACTGCTTTTAAATATGCATTTGCATATTTAAAATATTACGGATATGCATAATATAAATGTGCATATCCGTAATATATATGTGCATATGCGTAATAAATGCACATATGCATATTTAAATATGCGTATGTGCATTTACTATCGAGGTACAGTGCTAATCACCCTTGTCTATAACGCGCGAGCGTGCGGCTTTCTCCGGGGAGCGCTAGACTGGTGGCATTCGCGGAAACGAAGCTAGTCACGTGACGCAACATGGAACGGCCCGCTCGAGGGGTGTCCTGCCCACTCTATCAGCTGGCGGCGAACGCGGAAGGCTGCTCGCACTCTTTTTGCAAACATCATTGCTCGAGCAATAAACAAACTAAAGCATGAAGGCGTATCAACAATGTCGTCATGAAAAAACAAAAATATATCATAAAGCACTTTACTCTTACCGCTTATCAAGCTGATAGAGTGGGTAAGACACCCCTCGAGCGGGCCGTTCCATGTTGCGCCACGTGACTAACGCAGTTTTCGCGAATGCCAACAGTCTGGCGCTTCCCGGAGAAAGCCGCACGCTCGCGCGTTATACACAGGTCTGATTAGCACTGTACATATATACAGGGTCCGATCGAGAAAAGTAAACCCTACTTTTCGGCCTGGGTAAAAAATCTACGCATTGCAGAACGCTCAAACTCCGCCAGAATGTAACCCTAGCGTTCCAAGCAAGATGCCAAAGTTTCAGCCCGATCCGATAACTTAATCAAAAGTTATAAGTGATTTTCTGAAAATTTCAATGGGAAAATGGAGCCCATTTTTGCCCGTTTTTGGTTTCTGGTGTCATAAAGCCCCATGTGTGCGAAAACTCCGTCGGCGGCCATTTTCCCATTTGAAATTTTCAGAAAATCACTTATAACTTTCGATTAAGTTATCGGATGGGGCTGAAACTTTGGTATCTTGCTTGGACCGCTGGGGTCACATTCTGGCGGAGTTTCAGCGTTCTGCAATGCATAGATTTTTTACCCAGGCCGAAGAGTAGGGTTTACTTTTCTCGATCGGACCCTATATATATATATATATATATATATATATATTTGTATACGTGAGTTAAATCGTTCCGGCGAAAAGCACGCATCGCATAAAAAAAGGGGAATGTCTTATTGAGCCCTGAAAAGGGCCCCATTCGGGAAAATGAATAGCGTTCGGTATGATTCGTTTCATAATTACTTTCGAGGAATTCACTTTTTGATTTGTGAATTTAGATAGGTGTTGTGCGATTATAAACTTGCTGAAAATCATCGAAAACCACTAAATGAACTCATTTTTAAAACAGATGCCACGTGCAGCATGTTACTGCGTTTCGAAGGGAAAACAAATTTAAAAAAGTTCAATTTTGATGCGTTTTTAGGTTTCACCCTCTCGGTCTTTGCGCCAGCCTGGGCGGGGCAGGCAGGGCAGGCAGGGCAGGGCAGGGCAGGGCAGGGCAGGGCAAGACCGGACCGCTGGCTCAAAGATGCGTTTCGGTAGTGGACCGAAACCTAGAAACGCGTCAAGATCGTGAGTTTTAACAGAAAAGATGTTTTGGTGAGACGTTTTCTATGAGAAAATGTCATGGCAGGCGTCATACCGAGCGTCATGAACGGGTGACACGCAGGGATCGTTGCACAATGTTAAGCTGATACATATAAAGTTCGAGCCCCGGCAGATTCTCGAACCCGGGTAGCCAGCTGGTCTGGAAGGGTAAATGATCTTCTTTGAATGCCGGCGAGAAAGGTCGGTTTGGGGTGATAATAATAGGATACATGAAAAGAAATGATAAAACAAAAGATAATACGGAAAAAAACACGTAAAATAAAACAATTAAGAAAATATGCAATAAATAGAATATAATAAATAAAAATAAATACCGGCCTAAACTAAAATACCGTAAATACAAAATTTATATAAAATAAAATAGTAAATAAAAAAATACTTAAAAAATAATTCTAGCAGAAAGGACACACATGGAGTGTGGCTTGTGCTGGATGCGTTCTGTGCTCCTTGGTCTTTGTCGGCATAAAGAAGACTCATTTTTCCGGAATGCAGTAAAATGCTTTAGGCGTGCCTTCTATATTTCTAAAGTAAGTTTAGGGGTTTTCGATTATCCTTGACACGTTTCTAAGTGTAGCCATGCCTATAAATGTACTCATTAAAAAAAGTTAATTACTCGAAAGCAATTAATACACTAATTATACCGAGCGCTATTAATTTTCCCAGCATGGCCCTTTGGCAAA